ACCAATAGCTGGATGTTTTAGTAAGTTATGTTATATTCCTAAGCAACTATTTTCTTCAACTAATAGAGAATAAATTAATTACCTTCACAATCATGACTAGAAAGAATATTTGTGTGGCATTGAGTTAGTTGCATACATGTATACATAACATACTACAACTATTAAGAAAAGTGTGGACTGAAGAATGCAAAGTAGGTTTTCTGGGTTTGAGTAAGGGAGGAAAGGTGCATTTATGAAATTTTAGTTTTCATAACATCACAATATTTCATTCCCTTTCTTCTAGCAATTATATGCTAATTTTTTAACATTTTTATTTGAATTAGAAACAAGATTGAATTACATGACAATCCCAGTTCCCTTCTCCCTCCCTTCTGCTAATTTCTTAATTCTGAAAGAATGTGTCATTACAGATCTGAAAACTATACAAAGTTGAAAAGTGTTTATTGAAAGGGTAAGTGCCAATTGAAGTATGTGCTTTATATCAATATCACCAATATTTTCCACTTACAAAAATATCTTATTACCATCAAAGGGAAAAAACAGTGTCATAAGCATAAAGTATAATTAATAGATGTTTCATGGAAATTTTCAATTTACAATACATACCTATTTCTTTAAAAGGAAAAATCATTTAATAATATGAGTTAGGAAATTTGTTGATTCTAAAGCCTTCATGACAGATAAAAGTTGGGCAAGATGACTTAACAGAAGGTGAAATTGGTGTCAACCAAATAAAAGAATGACATTAGTATCTATTTTGAGTGGCTCTTGCTATGTATTTCTTTTTCAGACCTCTATTTTGGAGTAGCCCCTAATTATAATAAATGTCCATTGTCCCACAAGATAAATGATATTTCAGAAAAATGAAATATCCCTCATGTCAGTAACTTTCTTCTTACCATCACATTGCTATCATCATAGTCTTCATTTTAACTTACTGTGGGGAGTAAAACAGTGTCAATATATTCCCATTCCTTTAAGGACTGGTAAATGGATTCCTAATATCATAATGTCTGTGTTACAAAATGCAATATCTTGATGTCCCTGAGATTGTCTTCACTGTTCTTATTCTTAAGAATTTGTGTCATTAGATGCTATGTTGAAGTAAGAGTACAATTAGGATAGATTTGCATCTGATATCTCTTTCAGACCCAACATAGGCTAAGGATATTTTGTAAAGCATGCCACTGGGACTACAAAAGAAAGTTGCAATTGTCAATGTACTTTTCTAAATTGATTTATTAAACCATAAAAATATTTTCCTCTAATGTTTATATTGTGGCAAATCGTGGTTGCTTTCTCTAATACAGTTTCATTTAGTTACTGAATTGGGCTTCTGCTTCCAGTTCCTGGGGCAATGATTAAAATATGGTCTTTGAGAATGAGTTTGCACTATCCAGTTGCTATAGAAGACTTGCATCAATCATCACATGATAAACTTCTGGTTTCTAGGACAACTGAACTATGCCATTCTATTCTGGTAGAAGAAACAGTTGTTTCTTTTTAAATTTAAATTAGAAACAAGCTTCTTTTACATGTCAATCTCAGTTTTCTCTCCCTCCCCT